CAGGGAGGTGAATGGTCCTTGGATGTCTTTAAACTTGAGTAGACCCAAGGCCCAGTTTCAGAAACTCTTTTCTGAAGGCCCTCTCCTCTAACATCTTCATTCCTCCTATCAGGGACTGGTCTAAGGGCCTCTCTGCCTCCCCTTAACCCCCCAAGACCCTCAGATGAATAATGGTAGTCAATTTAACAATTGAAATGAAGCACTCTGACAACTGAAATGAAAGAACCAGGGCATCCAAGGAAAGAACATGCCTTAAGTCTTATGAGGTCCAACCCTAAATGCCCAGCTTGGGCTGTGGCAGGTCACCTGCATCCATGTGCCTTGGAACCCAGGCTGAACTTAGCAGGTGCCATAGACAGCCTGTCCTTCTTGTGCTGTCTCCTACCCCTCAAATGGTCGTGTTCTTTCAACTCTGTTCTCTCTTGTCAAGACTGAGGTCGTTTGGCCAGACACCCTTCCTGCCTACCTCTTTCCCACACCAAATGCCTTATAGGAGGTAGTGGATGTCACCAGGGCCCTCACCTATCGAGCTCTTCTCCCACTTCTGCTCCTGCAAGAGGCCTCATACTCTGCTCAGAACATGCTCTGGCTTCCTCATTGCTGCTAGACTGGACTCTCCTGGAAACTTCAATAATGACTGACCCATCTCTTTAGCCTCTAGTTGGCTCTTTATTTCCCACCTTGTACACTTGACTGAGCCTCTCAAGAGTCAGGTCTTAGTCATTCTTGTCCTTGCTGCCTTGTGTTAGTGCCTGATTCAGAGTGGCCCTCAACAACCATGGGGAACGATCAGATCAATGACCAAGTCACCTAGTCTTTGATCTGCACTCCATTTTCACGATGGGGAAAAGGGACCCTTGAATGACATAGACTGTGCATCCTCCCTCAAAGGTGTAAGATTCCAGAGAGCAATTGAGAGAACGCATGTGTGAAGAAACCATGGCACACATGCCTGGGCTGGGTAGGGAGAGTGGATGAAAGTCTCAATGGCAGAGCCCATGTTTCCAAGGCTGAATGGATAGAGGGAGAGAGGTCTACCTACTGCTTGACCAGCTATGGACCAAGTGTCTGCAGTTGATCATGTTGGCTTCTCTTCTCACAGGGCGGAAGCTTCGATGTGGCAGACAGAATGTTCCACAGTGTGAAGAACACGTGGGAGTCTGCATCCAAAGAGAACATGAGTGACGTCAGAGAGTTAACCCCAGAGTTCTTCTACCTGCCTGAGTTCCTAACCAACTGCAATGCTGTGGAGTTTGGTGAGTGAAGACTTGGGAAAGGCCAGGTGGGCTGGAGTGGGGAGACAGGGAGCCCAGGCTCTCACCTATACCTCTGCAGCAAGAACTGACTTATCAGTATCTCTGCTGGGCAAATCAAGGAGCAGGCCCCTCACCAGGACCAGTGTAGTAGGTGTGAGACCTCTGCTGGGTGACAGTATCTGAGTGTAATGACAGTCATTGAGGACAGGAGAGCACTGAGTCCCCACCCTAGCTATGACCTTTCCTCCCAGAGTCCCAGGCCTCAGTTTGCAGTGATGTGGCAGTCAGGGAACAGAACACCTTGGTAGTAGCCCAGGTCTAGCAGTGTCCTGCTTCATCATCACCTTGAGCAAGTGCAGGCTCTTCACCAGCCCCATTTGCACCATGTCCTACCACAGCCAGACTAACGGGTGGTGATCCCTTTGTTCCTGCAGCCTTGGATGAACCAGGCCATCTTCCTGCTTTAGAGCAGGGGCAAAAAAGTCAGGCAGTCCTGGGGATGGGCCCTCGGGTGACCACATGTAGCTCAGCAGCCTCCACTGCAAACGTGTACCATGGTAAGTTGGGACAATTTGCTGAGAGGATGTGTAGTCAGAGCTGGGGCAGGGCAGGGGCAAGGGGAGGGAAGCTTCGGGTGCTGCAGAGAGCACTCCAGCGCTGGTCCCATTGCCCCCTTCAGACTTAGACCTCCCTTTCCCTGGGGCTCCCCTTCTTCTGCAGGGCTCCCCATTCTCACTGCAAACAGCACATACAGGCATGCACCTTGAGCCAGGCCAGGGGTGGCCACTGGGGGCACAGGTGAGAAAACCTCGTACAGTGGTTTTTCAGCCCTGGACATGCAGCTGAGATACCCATGGAGTTTTTATGACCTACCTCTACCCAGCCATGGCCAGCAAGTCTGACCCATGGGATGTGGTGGGCTTGGCAGTGTTTGGATCCTCAAGTGCCCATTGTCAGGCAGCAGGGGACAGAAGTGGACAAATCCAAACAGCAGTTCCCAGAGCATATGGTAAAGCTCAGGGATGGTGGAAGTTGAGAGGAGGGCTGCTAGGCAGCCAGAGGGGTAGAGCACCGTGCAGCTGGGCTCTTTGAGGAAGGCATGCAGGCTTAACTACAGAAATGACAGAAGCTTCTTTATTGGACAGAGGCCAAGAAAGCAGGTGTTCTCAGAGGAAGTGGGGTGATGGGAAGATGGGGTATACAGGCACCTTTTTTAGGCCCTGAGGATTTAGTTGGGTCTCTGGGATGGGTTTTCCTGATAATCTTTACATTCTGAGAGGGGAGAAGAGAAGGGGATACCAAATATAGACAAAGAAGTGAACTCTGGCAGGTGCTGAGAAATCCTGTGAGGAAAGCAAGTAGGAGGATGGCTTGAGAGTGACTCAGAGGGATCTGTGTTATTCTGGTGCTCAGGAAGGACCTGTCTGGGGAGGGGTCAGGTGAGCTAAGACTGAGTGCTCAGATGACCAAGCCAGTCACAGCTCTGCAGGCCCAAGAGAGCAGGGGAAGTTTATGTTCAACTTGTACCATCAAGGCTCTGGAGGGTTCGAGCAAGACCATCTATTGGGCATCAGTCACAGGCCTGGAACTACTGAAAGCATGTTGTGTGTATTTTCTCTTGTCATCCTATATTAATCCTGTGAGGTGCCTCCTGCCATTATCCCTAGTTTTACAGGTGTGAAAATTGAATCCCAAAGGGGTCAAGCAACTTGTTCAAGAATTTGCAGCTAATAGGGAGGAGAGAGACTTGGCTGGAAGCCAAGTTCCTCTTCTTACCACCTGGGGAATCTCCATGTAAAAACCCTGCTGTCCTCTCTTTAAAAACACGGAGAAGCCTGGTCCCGGTAGTTCATACCTGTAATCCTAGCTCAAGAGGCAGAGATCAGGAGGATTGCAATTCAAAGCCAGCCCAGTTCAGGTTCATGAGACCCTGTCTTGAAAAATACCATCACAAAAAAAGGGCTGGTGGAGTGGCTCAAGGTGTAGGTCCTGAGTTCAAACCCCAGTACCACCAAAAAAAAAAAAAAAAGGAAAAGAAAAAATGGAGAGGAAGTGCATAAGTGATAGAGTTGGAGTGAAGATTCAGTAAGATGATGTGTGCCAAGAACCTCCTGTGGAGCCTGGCATAGGTTGGGTGCTCAGTGTGTGCCAGCATGCATTGTTAATAGCACCAGGCTGAAAAGGTATAGTATAGTGAGGAGGAAGATGTACCAACATTGGTGACACTAAGATTGTTTTTATGACTTGGAAGTCGAACTCTAGTGCTGCATGAAATAAGAAGGACCTTGTGGAGGCAGCAAAGGAACTTTCAGATTTAGGGAGCAGTATGGCCTGTGTAGGATGCAGCTGGAACTCGATCTACACAGAACTGGCAGTCCCAACAGCACAGTTCTTATGTGCTCAGTGCCTAGCCCAGTGTGGTCCCCATTTACCGCAATCCCTACTGTTTGACTTCCCACTCAGGCTGCATGCAGGACGGGACAGCTCTGGGAGATGTGCAACTCCCTCCCTGGGCAGATGGGGACCCTCGGAAATTCATCAGCCTGCATAGACAGGTGAGTCACTCCAGAGTCTGTATTCCAATGTGCGCTTCTGTGTCCCCTTGGTCTCCATGGAGGCTTTCTGTCCCAGTGGAGGGGACAATCCCTGAGGCTTTGATGTCTGAAGAGATGAGAGAAGGGGCAGGTCTCGCCCTGGGTTGGCAGGAGAAGGCTTGGGTTCTGGGGTGTTTCAAGAGGTTTGTCAGGCTTTGCCCTTGTGCCTTGGGCACCATGGCAGGAAGGAGTCTGAGTCTGCTTGGATTCCCTGGAGGGCTCAGTGTCCTTAGCCTGCTCTACGGCAGGGCAACTCTCTGGGTCATGTTCCTAGTACAGCTCAGAGAGAGAGGGTTTCTGGGCAAAGGAGTTTCCAGGACTGGGGAGGCCTGGGCCTGTCATCCAGGAGCCAGAGGTCATCTGGGGACATTTCTTCTGGATCAAACACCTGGGTAAGAATAGGAAGATGAAGCATGCTTAGCATCATTAGCCCGTGGGACAACATAAACTAAGACCACATGCGGTGTAGCCACACACCCACAGAATGCCTTGAATTTAAAGCGCTGACGAAATCAAGAGTTGGCAAGGAAGCAGAGCCATGGGGATGCAGCATACCCCGCTGGAGAGGATAGCCGAATGACACACCGCTCTGATGAAGTGGAAGGTGCATTTGCCATATCACCTGGCAATGCCACCTGCAGTTGTTTACCCAAGAGAAGTGAAAAATGGCCACACAAAAACTTGTGTATCAACATTGACTAGTTTCATTCAAACTAGTCAAACCTGAAAATAGCCCAACTGGCGAGTGGATAAACATCTAATGCAGCCACACAATGGAATCCTACTCAGCAATGAAAAGGTCACTGGCAAATGCTTGAGGACAGGCATGCACACAGGGTACTCTAGGCCTGGCTGACTTTCTGCAATCACAAGTCATGTGCCATGGCTCAGATAGAAGACTGAGTCTTCAGAGCCACATTGGCCACAGACCTCAGAGAAGCTATCCTGGAACAGGCACTCGGACTTCTCCAGGCCCATGCCGAGGGTTGCATGTCTTCCCAGAGGACCAGAGGAAGCCCCCTCAGCCCTCTTGCTCACATCTCCTCTTGCTTGGGTGGCAACTGATAAGAAATATGGCCAACTGGGGTGTCCTGACCTGAGCCAGCGCCATCATCTGGGCTGCAGTAGGAAGGATCTACCTGCTCCATGCTGAGCTCCTTCTGCTTCCTGTTAGATGTCACCTTTAGAGAGAGGCAAATGTTAATGGTTTCCAGTGGGAACTGTGTTCCCAGCAGAGTGAGATTTAGTTCCCACTCATGGGCTGCAAGCTCAGAGGCAGGCTCTGAGTCTGAAACATCTATCCTCCCACCTGGGGACAGTGAGACTACACTGGGACAGAATGTTCCTCCGGGCATCACACACTTGCCCCTTGAGTGCATGGATAAGATGCTTTCAGCCATCTGTTTGCCCTGGGCTGGACACAGGTGCCCCAGTAAAGGAAGCTCCCATTCCTGGATGCTGAGCTGCACCACAAAGCAGACTCTATCATTTCCCTGCCAGCAATGGTTTAGGGAGATCCCCACACCCAGATGTCAGAAATTCTTAGTGCTTGTGTGCAGTGAGATCGGCTCAGTGAGGCTGCATGTCCCTTAGAGGAGGCAGGGTTGAAGCATGAAAGTTACAAGTTGGGATAGTAGGTTCAAAAACCACGAACAAGCCTGTTCAAGAAGTGAGGAATTCATCCTTCTAGCCCAAGAGACAACACAGGAAACCCAAGTCACTGTTTGGCAGCTAGAAAGTGCTTGTTGTAGTTACTTGACCAGATGAAGCTCACTATGCACTGGATACAGACACATTAATCCTCACATTAACCTTGAAGAAAGTATAATTACTTGCCCATTTTACAGATGAAGAAATTGAGGACCAGAGATGTTAACTGTGTAAATGGAAATGCTTGGCTCCAATCCACTGCAGAGCATGCTCTCTGAGTCACTACACTTGGTCTCAACCTCCTGACATGTCCTGATCAGAATTAGCTCTCTCTGTTTACCCTATTTCATATGACAGCTCTCAGCAGGACCCCAAGACATAGTCTGTCTGGTCACTTCATGTAAATGTCACTCCCAGAGCTGCACCATATAGATGTTCTGAATGGCATGGTTATTTTATGAAGTGAATGAGTACGGTCAGATTGGGTTTTCCATTAGTGGGAGGTGAGAATCAGGTGACCCTTGGGTGGCTGGCTCATTTACCTGCTTCCTACTCATCAAACCTGGGGAACCATTGGCCCTCTCTCCTGTACAGCCAGCTACTGAAGCAATAGCATCTTCTGATCTATGCAGAGGGTGCACAAATCCATCAGAGTCCTGGGTTTTCACACTCTTTGGGTTTTGATTCCAGGCTCTGGAAAGTGACTTTGTCAGTGCCAACCTCCACCATTGGATAGACCTCATTTTTGGGTACAAGCAGCATGGGCCAGCCGCGGTGGAGGCAGTTAATACCTTCCACCCCTACTTTTATGGTGACAGAATGGACTTCAGCAGCATAAGTGACCCCCTGATCAAGAGCACCATCCTGGGGTTTGTCAGCAACTTTGGACAGGTACCCAAACAGGTATGAAAGACCACATCATCATCTTTCTTTCTCAAAAGAGTGCAGATTGTGAGTTTGGGAGCAAGGGTGAGGATGACCATTCCTGGTGGATGTGGAGATCTGGAAGGGCAAAACAGTCCCCAGTCATCTTCCTGTGCCTTCAATGCAGGGCTCAACCTTCAGTTATTTCCTGATGTTAATGAAGATGATGAGATCATTAGTGATAATGGTAAAGACTGTGTTCTTCTGTGACATCTGAGAGACACTGTGATAAATTTACCATTTTCAATTCTTCATATAAGTATCTATTCTTTAGGGTTATTATTTCCAATGTTGAAAGCACCTGACCTATGACTAGCATTCAACAAATGTTAGTTATTTGTGTGGTTATGTCCTGGATCCTCTCCTAAGCTCTGGGTATAGGGTAATGTTCTTTTGGGCTGAGTGCAGTGGTACATGCTTTGCGAAGGCAGCTACTTGAATACAGCTACTTGGTAGGCAGAAGTAAGAGGATCAAAGTATGAGGCCAGTCTGGGAAAAAAGCATGAGACCCTATTTGAGAAAAAAAAAAAAAAGTAAAAAGCAAACAAGAGCTGGGGAATGGTTCGGGTGACAGAGTGATTCCCAGCAAGTGCATGACCCTGAGTTCAAACCCCAATATTGACAAAAAAAGAGTATTCTTTTATGGATTTGGAGACTGAGGCCCAGAAAGGCTAAATAAATCACTTGTGTAGAATCGCAACAATAGCAAGCCATGGGGGTGGAACAGGTCAGGTCAACTGGGTAAGTAGGTAGATCAGTTGGGTAGGGAAAGCCAAAGCATGTGCCATATTGCCATTGGTGTGAGAGAATCTACCATCTGCTTGCCAGGCTGCCAGTGAAACTGCACGGGTTCCACCTGGCTTTGTATTTAGAAATATGAGTCGTGTACTCTTCATGTTGGTATTCTTACATAAGACTGTTCACAGCTTATCCAACTGATCCCAGCCCCATCAATCCCAAACTGGTTGAGTTATTCTCCTGAACACAGGTTCTGTGTCAGAATCCCAGCCCTATAGACAGTCAGCAGCCATCCTGGGAGATGAAAGCTCAAATCCAGCCGATTAGGACTGTCCTAGACAATAGCAGTGTCCCGTGCCCCCAGCAGTGGGTGCAGAATTGATCACACCATTCTGGCTGGCCTGTGGAACATTAGGGGTTTGCTCAGCTCCAGGGTAAAGGGGAGTGAGGCAGCCATGAGGATGACTTGGAGATTTGATGGTGCGTCCGAAGTGGGTTTGCAGGAGGCCTTGCGGAATGGATTGGATTTCAGGACAGAAGCTTGGTAGCCTAATGGCTTTACTTCTTAAATTTAAAAAAATATGATAATATAAATAAAGCAATAAAATAGTTCAAAGTAGTTATTACCACTGTCCAACTGGGTCCAGTGTTATGTAATCACAACTCTTGTCTATCAGCATAAGTCTTTTCATATCCACGTGATCATGGGGCACACACAGCTGTAGATTCTGATTTTCCTTAATGGTGCTGGCTGAGTGTCCCTTAATGTTTGGGAACAGAAGTGTTTTCAATTTCAGAATGTTTTGGAATTTGGAATATTTATATAGACTTTAGCATCACTAATCCAAAAACCTGAAATATGGGGGAAAGGAGAGGTTGGCTGGGGGTAACAATGATCAAAGTACATTATACACATAAAAATAGCATAATGAAGTCCACTAAAAACTATCAAAAAGGAGGGAGAGGAGGAAGGAGTGTTAAGAAAGAGTTATATAGGTAGAATGAATTTGACCAAACTATATCATATGCATGTATGGAAATACCACATACATGATACAATCTATGCTAATAAAAAGTTTTCTAAAACCTGAAACCTGATATTTGAAATGGTCCAAAATCCAAGACTTTTTGAGCATCATGTCAGACTTCAGAGTGTTTCAGATTCCAGTCTTCAAGAATAGGAATGCTCAACTTTTATATCAACCTGAGCTCTTAAAAATATTTCTAAGTACTTACCATAACGAGAATTTCTAAGCTGTTCCAGTCTACAGTCAAGATTAAAGTGCTTCTGGACTGCACCTATTCCAGCTTCTGGAGTATGCCTGCTGATGCTCTTGTGGGGAGCAGGCCCCAGAATGTGGATGAAGGAATCATTCTATGTGAGGAAGAACAAGCTCACTGAAAAATCATCATCCTGATTTCTATTTGATCACCAACACAGCTTCTGATCAAAGCATTTGATCAAAGGCTATAACTGAGCCAAGGCTGCTTTGAGACCTCCAGCCTGCCCAATGCACTTGACCTCTGTCCCTGCTCATGTGCCTAGCTGGGCCAAGCTCCAAGCATGGTACCTTCAGCATGGTGCCCAACAGATGTTTCCATCTGAGAGCTCAGGAGTATATGGATGGCTGGAGAAATCAGCCCCATAGGGGCCCAGCGGAGAGCCCAACCTGGCTGCAGCTACACCCTATGGTCCACCCTTAGAGACTGGGCTAGATGGCACAGCCTCACACTTAACGTGTCACTCAGCTATGCAAAATGTTTGGCACTGGGGACAGTTGATGACAGAGACTTGAGGAAAGTGAGAAGAAATGATTCTTGCTAACAGAATTTGCCTGTGATCTTCAGAATATTTAAAAAGATGTTAGTAAAGAATTCTGTGTTGGTGCTTGGAAGGATGGTCTGCCCTCTCTGAGTCCATTATCCTCATCTGCAACGTCTGAGACTTGGACCAGAGGATTTCGATTCAGCTCTGTTAAGAGGAAGCCCAGGCCTGTCAGTTCCCAGAGCAGGGGTGTGCATAAGATGGTTCTTCCCTGAGTGTCTGTCCCTTAACAACCTATGTGGTGTGTGTGTGCCTTTCCAGCTCTTTACCAAACCCCACCCAGCCAGGACCACGGCAGGGAAGCCTCTACCGGGAAAGGATGCCTCTACACCTGCGATCCTGCCCAGCCACCCACAGTCTTTCCTCCACAGCCTGCAGGCATTGAAACCCTCCCAGGTCACTGTCAAAGGTGATTACCTGGCCCTGCATTGTCCCATTTTTCTGGGGGTTTGTGTCCCTTCAGAGACTGGGTTCTTCTGGAGGTTCAGGGACAGAGACCTGGGCATAGAACTAAGGTATGGCTTGGAATGACTGTCTCTAAATATAGCAGGAATCTGCAGAGGCCTCTGCTCTAGAGGCATCCAGGACCACTAGGTCAGATCCTGACTTCTGAGAAGCCACATGTCTGCTTGCCCCACACATACACCTCTCTCCTGCCTTGCATATACATACACTTACACATTCTATGTACACACATAGACTTCTCTCTCTCTCTCTCACACACACACACACACACACACACACAATCTATTCCACTCCAAAGGCTAGTAGAGAAACCCCAAGGTCCTGAGGCAGTTTGTAACCACTTTAGTCACTGTTGTCCCTAAGTATCCAGATGTTCATGAAGCCAGTAGCTAGGAGCATTTGCCCTGGGGCAGGGGACTGGGTATGAGTCCCAGCCCTACTACTTTCTAGCTGTGTGGGTTGTAGGGTTCAGGAAGAGGGTGGATCTCCCATTTCACCCTGAGGCAGCCACTACTAGGAGGAAGGAAAGGCTCCCCATGGCAGTGAGAGTGGCCTCCATGTCTTACACAAGCTGAGAAGGGATCATTGTCTCCACTCCATGGGAGAGAGCCCTGGGGCAGGATGGCTGGATTTGCCCAGAATGATCAGGCTTGGAATACAGGCTAGTGAGCAGCAAACCCTGAGTGCTGAGCTGTATTCCAGCTGCAGTCAGGTGTGGCTTCCAGACTGCAGCTGGTAAAGAGCAAGAGCCATGCTTCTTCCCAGGGAAGCCTTCCACACAGCACAGGAAGGGAAGGTGCACAGCGTCCCCTGGAGGCCCTTGTGGCTTTGTGCTGTTTGCCAAAAGAGCCGAAGCTCCTTCCCCTGGTATCATTACTTCAGAGACACTGAGCCCCGAGTGACCACACTCGTAAGGTGTGTGTCAAGTTAAAGAAGGAAAAGAGGAGAGGAGACCTGGGCCATTGGCAGGGTTTAACAGGGCGTTGTCAAGCTCCTCCTAGCCTGGGCGTGAGCCTGGTAAAGTCCAGTTAGCCTACAGTGGCTTCTCTCTGGGTCCAATGAAAGTGGGTGGTCTTCACTGTACATCACCATACTAACTGGGGGGTAGATATGTACCTTTTCTCTCTAGGATCAGAGTCCCCCAAAGGGGCCATCGGCCACATTGTCCCTACTGAGAAGACTATCCTGGCCGTGGAGAAGAACAAAGTTCTGCTGCCCCCTCTCTGGAACAAAACCTTCAGCTGGGGCTTTGATGACCTCAGCTGCTGCCTGGGGAGCTATGGCTCTGACAAGGTGAGGAGGACAGGGTTACCTCATGGTCTCAGATTTCCATGGTCCAGAGATCAGAGAACCCATACTCACTGCCCACAGCCATTTCCCCTGCAAGCCTGTGCCCCAGTCTAGGAGAAAGGGTCAAGGGACTCCCACAAAGGTCCTTTATGAGCCAGATTTGAAATCAATTTTCCAAGAAGAAGAGCTTGTAGGCTCGGAATGCGCAGTCACTTTCACTGTCACATGGCTGATCACATGGCCACACTGACACCATTCAGACACTCACTTAATCTGTGTGGCAAGTCTGGAGCTTCCGCAGCCCCAGGCATGGTTTAGACTGAGAGGATTCAGGCTGAGGATTCAGCAGCTTTCCAGGAGTAAGCCCTCTGTGTATTTGCCTGTTGTCTCTGCCTTTGCCCTAACCCTTCCCATTCTGCCTATCCATGCCTAAGCATTCCATGACTTCCCAACCTTTCACCCTACATTCTGCCCTCTCCAGCTTTGCAGCCATAAATTGTCCCCAAAGTGCCCCTCTCAAAAACTGTCTCTACATTTGTCCCATTCCTGAGCCAATCTTCCTGGTACTCCCGGTTTTTCACAGCATCCAAGCATCAGCATAGGTGCCTGCTGGCTTGCTCCCCACCCTCTGGAGTAGGAGCTCTTCCTTGGGGACAGGCTTGGATTGGCCTGGATTTGTTCATGAGGGATGACTCCTGAGCACACACTCACTGGAGTCCCTGTCATTTTGTCCTGACTTCCTGGCCTCTGCCAGCCAAGCACCAATGCTCATTCCTATTCCCACAGATCCTGATGACATTTGAGAACCTGGCTGCCTGGGGCCGCTGCCTGTGTGCTGTGTGCCCATCGCCCACCATGGTTGTCACCTCTGGGGCCAGTGCTGTGGTATGTGTGTGGGAGCTCAGCGTGGTCAAAGGCCGCCCAAGAGGGCTGCACCTCCGGCAGGTATGTACCTCAGGCAGATGCTGTGCCTTGGGCAGTGACGGTACCTGAACACACACAAACTGGAACTCCTGCTTGATGAGGGCCCTGTCTCCCTGAGACACAGTGAGAAGTGCAGGGCAACTCCCAGCTCTCTGGTGCATGGTGTCAGTCCCTGCACTGAATGGGCACATGGTGGAGTCCCACTCCTCGTTGTGCAATTCCAGGTCACAGTGGCTGCTTTCACATACACCAGAGCCAGAGGAGCCAGTGTGAGCTCTAGCCATGGGTTGGCCTTTATGCCATACATTGTCACACAGATCACCTCACTTCACCTTCCAGCAGCCCTATAAAATAAGTACCTCTATCAGCCCTACTTTCTCAGTGAAAAACTAAGGTGCAAAGAAGTTAAGTGGCTTCTTCATGTTCCCAGACCCAGAAAATGAGACTGTTTTAGAAAGGAAGGAATTGTGGTGGATCACCATTAACAGGAGGCCAGAAGTGAACTCTTAGTCCTACCCGGTGGACCATCACCACTCCTAGTGCTGACCAAGTGGTACTTCTCTTTACTTAACACTCAAAATGCACCAGGGCCTCTCTCAGTGCTAACTTTAACCCTGAGAAGCAGGTACTGTTATTCCTGCTTTTAGATGAGAAGACTGAAGCTCAGAAAGGCTGAGTGTGCATTTGAGTCTGAGTTTGTCTATTTCTAACTCCCATGCTCTCTTCCTGTGTACTCTTGAACTTGCCCTGGATCATCACTAGGGTTACTTCCAACTCAAAATGCAAATCACCTTCACATCTGTTTTTCATTTAGCCACAGAGTCCTAAAGGAACAAGATTAACTGCACGAAATTTCCCCCTGACCCAGTTCCTGAACTGGGTTTCTCTGGGTGACTTTCAAGTCACTAGTGTTTCCCCAGAGCCTGCGCTTGTTCCTTGCTGCCACCACCAGGGCCTGAATAGTACAGGAGGGCACTCAACAAACAGGAGGTGAAGGAATGGATGGGTTGAGCAGGAAGTAGCCAATCTATTCACTAGGAGTTGCTGAGAGACTGCTGGGCAGGCAAGGCACAGGGGACATTTCCAGGACTTGCAGGAAGACCCCAAAGCAGCACAGCACTCTGGTCTAGTCCTATTTTCTTATTGTTCCTGGTTTCCTGGCTCCCTGCCACACCACCCACAGTGGTTTTCTTCCCAACCTAAGTGAAGATGGAAATGAAAAGCAGACAGACCCTCTCTCCTAGCATGAGCAATGCCCACTTATAACTCACTGGGGGCTTCAGGCAGTTCCAGCCTGGACCCTGGAGCTGAACTTGGGGTGCAGGAAAGTGACCCTTTTATTACTACTCTGAACTCCGTTTAGCAGTGAGGATTCATCTTAAAAGCACTAGTATTGACACCATAAAATGCAATTTATCATCTTCTTGTAACAAAATCAAAAGCAAAAAGTGTGGAGAATTCTGAATGCTCTTATTTCCAACCTGTAAAGGCTGACATGGTGTTGGGAATCCCCCAAACCACCAGCTTCTCAGCAAAAAGGGTCTGTCCCTGAACTGAAGACAGAGAAGTCATCATTAACTAGCTTCATAAATAGTTTTTAAAGTTTTTAAATTTTTTTAAAGATATTACAATGTTAAAGAGAATTTCAAAAACAAAGAGTTCTCTATAATCCCCATAAAAGTTTTCATTTTTGCACACTTCCATTCCAGATATACATATTTATCCCTTTTTGATCCTTGCCTGGATGTATTTATTCCATTTTCAGCCAGTCTGTCAAATTGTTTTCATTTTTCTACAGCCTCTGTAATTTACATTTCAATTGTTCTGAATTATTCTATTTCCATAAAATTATATTTTGATAGCTATGTTGATGCATCACAGTTTAATAAACCTTTTCTCCTAAAACTAGACAATTAAGTTATTTTCAAGTTTCAACTATTTTAAATGTGCTCCAGAAAGCATCTTATACAGATCTCTGTTTGCTTCTAATTGTTTCCTTATGATAAATTTTGAGGAGTAGAACTGCTGAGTTGTGACATAAGTTTTCCAAAATCATTCTATAGTTTTACAGTGCAACCAACAATTGACTGAATACCCCCTCACCACAATATCCCATCACGAGGAATTATTTTAAGAGGTTTTAATTTTGTTTATATTTTGCTAATTTAGTTAGGCATAAGATGATAGAATGAAGTTATTTTAGTCGACCTGCATAGAAGTACTATCCTGGAAAAAAAAGAGCCCATTGGGAACACATTTAGAACTGCTGTGTCCTTCCTTGATGTCCCCTACCTTTCCAGATGGTGGGATGCTGGGTGCCTGGTGTCACAGTTTCTGGTTTGATGAGAAGGTAGCAATTCTTGCCTATGTGGTGCACACAGACTGTCCCCTGCAAAGAACAGGCTGGCTCTGCTCCATAATGATCAGCCTGTCTTGGTATTCAGGCTCAGAGCTGCTCTCTCTAAATCCCTAGACCCCATACCTAGATCTCCTTCCCTGCACCCTTTGGAGGTCCTGTGTCCCCTGTGGTCAGAACTTAGTCGTCCGACTTAGTTCATTCTGGGAAGAGGAGCAGAAAGTTCTGTCAAATCTTCTCCTTCCTGTATTTATTTAGAAGTTTCCATGTTCCTGAGACAACCCAATCTTCTTCCATGGGTCATGCCCAGAAACTTTCCACCACCATCTGGTTGGTGTCACATTAGGATCCACTGAGAACAAATAGAAACCTGTGGCAAAACTTTTAATTGCTGTGATCAGGCAAAGTGACAGCTTTGAAAAATGATGCTGAGCCTCATTGACCCAAATGAGTGAGCAGTTGTCTGTGCCCTGAGGGTGGAGGTTTACCAGTAGGTAAGCCAGGCCAGTCACGTTTCAGAATGCCACCTCCGCACCCTGCTGGCTGATTCCAGGGAATGTCAGACACATGTAGCACAGAGGGTCTACCATCGTGCTTTCCTGGCAGCCTCTGGGATGCTTGGGATGGAATCTTTGTCATTATCACAGCAGTGGGCCCAGGAGTACTCAGCCTTTTGGGAACATGCTCAGAGAGAACAAGGCCTCTGGCCAGATCTGCACACACAACCATCCATGAGTCAGGGCAGGCCCTGAATGGACCAAACCTGAGGGCTAAGGGCAAGGCCCTGAATCACCACTATACATGAACCCAGACCCAGCAGACTGGGAAAGTTACATCTATTTGGTAATAGATGACCTCCCTTCCTTCTTCCCAGTTTAGTTCAAGGGATCCCATGTTTCTGAGTTTTCTATAGTGTGATACCTCTCCAACTGGAGCAGGTAACAAGAATCCCTTCAAGGACCATGAAAATGCAGAGGTCAGGGCTCCACCACCTTCTAATTCTGAAGGCCTGGGGTAGAGCCCAAGAATTTGTATGCCCAGCAAGTTCCCAGAGGCCACTGAGGCTGCCGGCCTGCACAGCATGCCTTGCCAAACGGAGCCTTTGCATCTTAACCGTGTTATGAGCTGCTTCTGATTCAAGATGAATATGGGGAAGACGAAGAATAAGGACTTCGGTGGCCTCTGCTTGGGTTAAAGTAAAGGGACTACTAATTCTTCCTAGCTGAGCCTCAGTCCCTGGAAATGGATGTCACAGAGAAGCCATCTGTGGACCTGCACACGTGTTACACCTCCTCACATCTCCTGCCATACAAGGCTCTGGATCACTGAGTCACTCTGAATCTCTGCTTCCTTATCTGGGGCCCATTGGTAAAGGGAAGAGTGAGGAATCCGCCTCCCCCTCCACTAGCTGGATTGAGGGTTCCTCTTGTAACCTATGGGTTTGCCTCCTGTTCCCAGGCCTTGTATGGACACACCCAGGCTGTCACGTGCCTGGCAGCCTCAATCACCTTCAGCCTCCTGGTGAGCGGTTCCCAGGACTGTACTTGCACCCTGTGGGACCTGGACCATCTCACCCACGTGGCCCGCCTGCCTGCCCACCGAGAAGGCATCTCAGCCATTGCCATCAGCGATATCTCGGTGAGGACCCTGTTTCTCCATGTCTTTGTCCTCCCCATGTCTTTGAGTCTGCATGGTAGCATGGTGGACAATATCCCAAGAGAAAACCTAGGGGCAGAGAGATGCTGATCACCCCAGAATGGGGAGTAGGCCCTGCATGTGCAGACCATGCTTTAATTTTTGATTCTTCACTTTCCTCCCCCAGGGAGATAGAGGCTCTGGAAGGTGTCTGCTCTGTCAGGGAGTTAGAACTGGAAGATCTGCCTTTGGTGAGAGGTCTGCTGGGCATGGCTGAGGAATTTAGCTCCTTAACTGTGATTGGACTAGTTCCTTGGATTACAACAGCAGTGACTGTCCCTGTTTGTCCCTCCATGCAAACTAGCAAAGACAAGCATCTCAGGAACATGTGTGTGATAAGGAGTTAGAGAAATGTATGTTATCAGTGTGGCATTTCTTCCAGCATATTGCCTTGTCTTTGGGTGAAAGTCTCTCTAAGTATGCAGAATATCTGCATGTGTTCATAGAAATCTCCAAGGGCCCAGAGCATGGATTATGTGGGAAGAGAACTAATAAGAGGAGGAGAAGATGATGGAGAAGCCTACTGGTGCCAACTTTGGCTGCAAGTAGTGTTCAGATAGGCTTAAATACAAGATGATTGTTACATGGGTGGATGGATGATAAATGGATGGGTGGATAGATGGGTAGATGGTCAAACAAATGAATAGACAGGTAGATAGATGGGCAGACAGAGGGATGAATAGGTAGACACATGGCAGATGGATGGGTGCATAGTTGGAAGTGTTGGTGAATGGATTCATGGGTAAGTAAGTGATAGGTGGATGGAAGATGGATGGACAGATGAATGAATGATGACCTGGTGGGTGATAAGTGAATAGCTAGATGAGTTAATGTATTAGGAAATACCTGATCTAGAAAAACATAAAATCCATAATGAATTGTGTTCCCACACCCAAGAGAACACTGGCACTAGGGAAAGTTGTCCTGGAGCCAGCTGGATTCAGTATATGCTTGCTGGGCCCAGGTCTGGGTGCTGGGCAGAGATGTGTTAAACATAGTCCCTGACCTCAGGCAGGGACTAACAATTCAGGAAAGCCACAATAAAGCACAGCTGTGGAAGGGCACTGAACTCCCTACATTGCTTCTGTGGTTTGGCAAGGCTTAAAGACATGGCTCCATTGGTGACTGTGGCCACTACTTCACTGGATACAGGATAGACAGGACTTGGGAACAAGGCTCTGCATATGAACATTTTAGGAGATGCAATGGGTAAATTTCTTCTCAGAGGTTCCATCTTGAGGGATATTGCCCAAGTTTATGAACTACTTGCAATCATTTGAGACTCTGTACCATGTCTTCCATCAGGTGAGATTGAAAACTTCTTCATGGGGACAAAATTGGGTGGCCAGTTGTAGGCCCTATGTCTAGAGGCAGGGCTTGTCTTCAGACTGGTTTTTCTATGGAAGCCAGGGTGTAGCCAGGGAGAAGGATCTTGGAGGGGCCCAAAGGGTGAGCCAATGTTAGTTTTTTGCCACTGTGACAAAATACCACAGATAAACAACTTAAGGGAGAAGACTTATTTGGGCTCACAATTTCAGAAGTTTCAACCCACAGTTGGCTGGCTCCCTTGCTTTGGGCCTGAGTCAAGGCAGAACATGTAGAGAGGGCAGATGGAGCAGAATTGCTTACCTCATGGCAGCTGGGAGGCAGAGAGAGACCAGAGGGGCCAGGAACAATACATACCCTTCAAGGGCACACTGGAGTGACCTGCTTCCTCCAACCAGGCCTCACCACCTAGTTTCCAGTACCTTCTAATAATGGTGGCAGGTTAATCCATTGGTGAAGTCAGAGCACTCATGATCTAATCACCTCTCAATGATTAAAGCCACTAGCTGGGAACCAAGCTTCAACACATGAGCCTTTGGATGGACAGTTCTATCCATACCATAATAACCAGTCAGCATCTGCTGGGGAAAGTGGTAACCAAACACATCATTGCAATATGAACAGTGAGGAATTTAGAGTTATGTGAAAATATGGTAGACTTATGAAGTCAGATGGAAAGAAGTGAGTATTTTAGGGGGTCTTGGGGCACCTTTTTTGGTCTTGAGAAGGTGGCAGGTTGAGGTGCTTTCGTGTACAAACTGGGTAACGGGCTGGCAGTGCCTCCAGCTTAGAGTAAAGCCAGCTATAATTATTGCAGGGCACCATTGTCTCCTGTGCGGGAGCCCATTTGTCCTTATGGAATGTCAATGGACAGCCTCTGGCCAACATCACCACAGCCTGGGGGCCAGAAGGAGCCATAACCTGCTGCTGCATTGTGGAGGGCCCAGCATGGGATGCAAGCCATGTCATTGTCACCGGGAGTCAAGATGGCATGGTTCGGGTAGGTGTGTTTTGGACATAATGAGGACATAATACAAGAAATGTGTTTATCTCCATTTTTCCCACTTCCTCCAAGGGTCCAATTCTTCAGGTTTCATTTGAGACCATTCTAGATCACATACCTAAAGCAAATGAAGGGAAAGACAAGTCTTTTTCCAAATAACAAGTTAATAAATAAAAATCACATAAATGATATTACACATATATAATATGTTGCAAGATATGTATGCTGAGTGGTCAATAGAATGCTGACATTCAGTAGATTATAGCTCAATGCTGAAAAGAGGTATGTGTATCATTTATTCAGCACAATTTGCCCATGCGTGTATCTACTCACTAATCTGCCTAGCCACCTACCCAACTATTTATCACCCCATCCATTCATCCATCTACTCATCCATCCATAATTTCATTCATGCATCCATCCATCCTTCCTTCCATCCATCCACCTACCTACTCATCCAACATTCACTGAACATGCCAAACACTTCATAGAAGCCACTGCAGGTTCAGATATTAGTGAGAAACAGGCCTTTTTCATCAGAATTCTAGAAGAGGAGGCAAACAAAAAATGGTGTGTGTGTGGTACAAGCCATTTGTTGAGATAATCAACAATGAGAAGAGCCATAGAGAGGACAAAACTTTAGGATGCCAAGAAGAGAAAGAAACATTGAGGTTAAGGGATAAAATAGGCAGAACAAGTCACAGGTGACTTTTCTGAGATTGACAGAAAGGATGATAGGAATAATTAAGAACCTTATTTAAGAAACTGTCCTTTGAGTTTCTTGATTTGTGGAAGGAAATGTCAATTGAGTGCACAAGGTGCCCAAGTGAATGCCCACTGAATTCTACAAACATTTGCAAAAGCCTGCTGTGTGCATACCCAGCTAAAACTTAGCTTTGCCCTCCAAATCCCTCCAGGCTGAGTCTCAGCATAAGATGATGCTTTGGGAGGAGGAATGGAGTAATGGGGTGGGAGCCACGGGAAGGAAACTCCTTTCCAGTACAGGGACCTCAGGGGAGGTAGCATTTCAACTGAGTCCTGAGGGTGATGAAAAGGCAGAGTATGTGAAAAAGTCTACAGGCTGATGGGACAGCCTGAATGGAGAGAGAGGAGGCTAAGGTGGGACTCCCAGGAAATCCCCTATAGGGCTCCATCAGTGGCCTGTGAGGAACATAGGATCTGTGGGAAGAGTAGGACATCCAGGGCTGGCTGGAATATGAGGAGGTTGTAGTGGGTCATATTGGGGTGTATTTCTCTCCTGGGCCTGCCCAAGGCAGGAGTGGGAGTCTCCCCAGTATTCAGCATTCATTCATTCAACATGGCTATGAAGTTCCTGGATCAGGCCAGCCCCATGGCTGTGTGAGGCCTGGGGGAGGTCATAGAGGCACTTGAGTGGAGGCTGACTCTTATCTTCCAGCAATAGAAAGTCAGACTCAGTGAGAAGTTATATGCAGTCGATTTGAGGACACCCAGAGGGCTGGGGACAATGCACAGAGGATGGGACAGCCCCCAGGGATGATAGTGTAGCAATAAGATGCTTTTAACTCAGTAACAGGATGGTAAGCTAACTATGGAGTTTAATAGATAAGGGATTGGGGGGGAATGCACTTAGGGGCTCAGGGATGGGACTAATAAGCTAAGCCTCCATACTGGGGTGCTGAAGCCTAAATAGCTCTCTTCCTGATAATAAATTAACACTAGATGTGAAAGTATAGGGGGCATGCTCCCATACCTTACCACAGGGCCCCTCAGGGATGAGGGAATAGGATGCACCACCAATAGCCTACAAACAGAATCATTTTCCCAGCTCATGGTAGGTTCTCTTCTCTCGACAGATTTGGAAGACTGAGGATGTGAAGATGTCTGTTCATGGGCAGGAAGCAGCAGAGGAACCCTCCACTGGGCCTCCAAGCCCCAGAGGTACCTGCCTAGTTTGGATGAGACAGGTTGAGTCCTAACCTGTCTCTCCAGGGATCAGTGAGCTCTGGGGAGCTTCTTTGACTTTGTGGACAGTGGTGGTGTGGGTTTCTGGGCTTCTGAGCTTCAGGAGAGGAGGCACACCTTTGTGATTTGTGGTTAATTTATTACCCATCTGCCTGGATGGCTCTTGAATGCCAAACTCCCTAGCCCAGGACTGGATGCAACTGGCTATATGTCTGAACAGTCAGACTGTGGACAGGAGAAGGGAGGGGCCATTTCCCTGGGGAGGAGGAAGTGGGTCTGTCATGTCCCAGACTGTCCCATAAGCCCTAGCTCAATCCACCGACCTCCCCATGGCAAGGGGGTCTGGAATCATTCTGCCTGAGCATTGTCCAGGCACTACTAAAATGGAGACCCCTATCTTGTTACTCAGCCTAACCCAGTGGAAAGACTTGGGATTTGGGATTGAAGTCTCTAATAAGTTCCTAGGTAGGTCTGGTATGCACCAAAGTAAGAGAGCCACTGTTCTGTGGCAGAGCCTTCTTTGAGTTGTGGCAGATGAGACTGAAGTAAGAAAATCAGTCCCACCTTCTGCTCTCATGGTCACTGCCACTGCCACAACCAGAGCCACCATAATAGAGCTGAGATGTCAAAGAACTGGGCATAAGCAGGCTCTACTGCGAACATTTCTCATGCATGCTCTCCTAATATCTACTGTGTGGTAGATATTACTCACATACCTGTCTAAGAGAGATAAGGAAACTGAGGCACTCAGAGGTTCAGGAACTTGCCCAATATCACCAGCAATTATAACATCCTTCTCATTTCTGCCACTGTAGCAGCCACAACCACTGCAGAATAACCTTTACCACCATGCCATCACCACCACCAGCTCCCCCACCCTCAAAGCTGTCACCTGTTCACTTCCACCATCTGTCCAGGCACCCCTGCTACCATCACTTCCTCCAACGCAGCCAGCCTTCTCTCTCAGCCCTGTCTTTGTCAAAGATTGAACCAAGACATCTTTCTTGGGTCCCACAATCAAAGGAAGCATGTTACTATGAAATGAGAGTTTTCTCACCATCCTGAGCCTTTCGTAGCTCCTTGTTTGTTCACTTTCCCCAAAGTAGTGATTATCCACAGGAGAGAACTTTCCTCAACTTCTGAGGACTCTGTTCTAAAAATAGTAACCATTCTGTATTAATTGATCTTTATTTATTTTTTTTTGTCAGTATCTGTCAAACTTTATTTATTTATTTTTTTTTCTTTTATTATTCATATGTGCATACAAGGCTTGGTTTATTTCTCCCCCCTGCCCCCACCCCCTCCCTTACCACCCACTCCACCCCCTCCCGCTCCCCCCCTCAATACCCAGCAGAAACTATTTTGCCCTTATCTCTAATTTTGTTGTAGAGAGAGTATAAGCAATAATAGGAAGGAACAAGGGGTTTTGCTGGTTGAGATAAAGATAGCTATCAGGGCATTGACTCACATTGATTTCCTGTGCGTGGGTGTTACCTTCTAGGTTAATTCTTTTTGATCTAACCTTTTCTCTAGTACCTGGTCCCCTTTTCCTATTGGCCTCAGTTGCTTTAAGGTATCTGCTTTAGTTTCTCTGCATTAAGGGCAACAAATGCTAGCTAGTTTTTTAGGTGTCTTACCTATCCTCACCCCTCCCTTGTGTGCTCTCGCTTTTATCATGTGCTCATAGTCCAATCCCCTTGTTGTGTTTGCCCTTGATCTAATGTCCCTCATTACACTTCCTTGATTCATTTAGTTATCCGCTCACGAATTTTTTTTGCCATGTCAGCACACACAGATTTTTTGCTCAGCTCCTACTGTGTTCTAGGCTCTATGTTGGGAATTCCTTCCTCAGCAACTCTCATCAACAATCTGGGCTGATCCAGAACACAAGCTTTGCAAAGTCCAAGAGTCATGTTCAGTTCACTGGTCCCAGCGTCTCTAAACAACTTAGAGATCATGAGGAATCAGTTCATCTCAGGGAGAAAGAAAAGCAGGGGCCTTGTACATTCTAAGGCATTCAGGACTTCTTTGGAAAGGAGTGGCCACACTGTGCCCCCATGGAAGAGAACTACCACAGGGTTCTTTTCCCCAGCCTGCTCATGAAGTGACTGGTGCACCTGCGTGAGACTGCACGCTGTCTTTGTCTTGGAATCAACTTCTACCTTTAGAAGATATTGAGGACCCATAAGTTTTGGCTTATTGCTCAAAAAAGAAAGCTAGACAGATGGATGGGAGGGTGGATGGATGGATAGATGAAGAAGAAGCACCTCAGAACCATTTCATTGATCCTGGATGTGACAGCAGACTCACAGGTTTCTAATCAGCATCATTGTGGTGTGGTTGTATTCACTGGCCTTGGGGTCTAGGAAATGAGAAATGGGAAACCAGGCACCAGATCCAACTCTGTCCTAGTAACTTATCTGTCAAATGGACATCCTATCTTGTAGACTGTTGATGACAGAAAAATAGTAAACCATAAACAAGACTCCACTCCACAAATGCAGATCACTGTTGTCACCGTCTCAAACTTCCAAGAGTTTCTTCTCTTTCAATGCAGTGGCCAGTGACATTGGGGAAATTACAAAATGGTTTCAGGTTGACAGGGAGTATCTGCTTCACTTTCTTCTCCTGCCATCTATCCTAACCTACCACGGTTCCACTGAACTGCCATGACTACAGTCATAATTCAAGAATTAGGATGAAGTGACATTATAGCACACACATAGTCCAAAAAAATAAGATCAGACCATAATTTAGAGTCAAGAATCTGTATGTAGATTTATAAACCTAACCTGCTGAAGGTATTTAATAAGGAATCATGTTGTTCTTCTAATGTTGCTCAAAACTCTTCTGTTGGAAGGGATTAGTATTAAGCATGACACATATGCATAGTTGCACATGTGCTCTCTTGATGAGTATATTTTTGCATCCCCTCGGATGTCTTAAGGGGCAAGAAAGGAGATCTTTGAAGATATGGAGGATACTGCATTTGTGGGCAGATGTAATCTAATTTCTGCCTGGAATTCATTATTTGTCATTTGCAGCAAGGACCAACCCAGTTGAGTACAATTTATTTCAAAAATCATCTCATAGATTTGAACACAATCTGGTTGCATAAAAAGCAGTCAGGAAAAGTATGGTGTTTGGACTCATGCAGGAATTTACAAATGCCTGGTTCCGACTCAAGGCAGTGTCCCTCTCTTGTATCCCCATGCATTCCCTGGTGCGTGCACCTGATATCTGCCCATGGAGGTTGTCCCATTGCTGTATCTCCATCTCACCCTTCGTGTTGGAGGAATTACTGTCTATCCCCAAATCTAGTCATTAAAATGAGTGAAGTAACAATCATCAAGTTATATTTTTTGAAAAAACGTTCTCAGCATTTAATTATTGGTTGTGGCGTGAGAGGATTTAGATAAGTTGATAATACCGACTTTATGTAATTTATTTTTACTAGGCAATTACAGGCTGCATTACATCCTGGCAGCAAAGTATTGTGGGGCATCTTATTAAACATAAAGCCAGTAAACACTGATGAACAATTTTGCTGAACTAGGCATGCAATTTAGAAAGCAATAATACCCAAATCCAATTTGGTACACAATGGATACCGTGGCACGTCAGCACATGTAACTATCACAGCCTGCAAATTAAATTGGGACGGCCCTTTTTGCAACAGCACAGGCCAAGATTAAATATATTTTCCCCCTCAATTTAACAAGTTGCTGACCACAAATATAAATATGCGTGTATGTGTGGTCCTGTGTGTGGATGTACACAGGCTCGTGTGTGAAGCCACTTGGGTGTTCTAACTCTTCTCTCTCACACTTCCAACAGGTCACAAGTGGGAGAAGAACCTTGCCCTGAGTCGAGAGCTGGATGTCAGTGTTGCTTTGACAGGGAAGCCCAGCAAGGCCAGCCCTGCGGTGACAGCTTTGGCTGTGTCCAAGTAAGCACAGCCTTGCTTCCCTAGGTCTCCAGTAGAGGGCACTGCTGCTACCCTAGCAAAGCCCAGAAAGGCCATCTCACCACAGGGACCCAAGGGAGGCTGGGGTTTGCTACCAGACTAGGCTGTAGGTAACATGGCCACATAGGGCCTTAGGAAATGGTTTATTTTGGTGTTTTTAACTCACATGTTCTCTTGATCTTTAACTCTTGAATATCCATGAATTTCATAAAGAAATATAAAAGGAGGAAAGACTATTTTGTAATTTTATACCAAAGAAGGCGTTCCACTGCCTACTGTAACATGTGGTATGTATGTTCACCATCCCACATTGACAGAAAATGCTTTTCGAGGGCCCTAAGCCAATGTAGAAAAACCAAGCGTCAAGATGGCACTGGATTCCCATTATTTTAGTCATTACAATGACCCCACGGGAGCAGTTATGGTCATTAACCCTTCTCTCTACACTAGGAAGTATAGTCTCAGGCTCTGCTTACAGAGGCAGGGCTTTAGCCTGCTCCCTGTATCCCCAATATCTTGAACTTCCCGTCAGTACTTTGGAACTTGCAAACCCTCACAGCTCAAAGTCCCTGCTGCTTTGTCCATTTCTCTCACTCAGTCCCTGGCTTCAGAGAGATGAGACCAGGGTTGGCTCCACTGGGCTTTGGACTGAGCTACATGTTACAATTTTCTGAGTCTTGGCTGGGATACACACGTTGCTCAGGCTGGCCACCAACACTCTTGACTTTTCTTTCTCTTCCCAAGAAACCAGACCAAGCTGCTTGTCGGCGATGAGAAGGGGAGGATTTTCTGCTGGTCTGCTGAAGGGTAGGAGGAGACAAATGGTGGAGGCTCCCACATTGCAACCAGGCACCTCCGGGGCAGCAGCACCAGTCTGAAGGCAGCAGAGGTGATGCAGGGCCTGGCTCTGTACCCAAAGGAGCTTCTAGTCACCCCATCCCCTGCCCCAGTTCTCACAGAAGAGGCCTCTTGTGATTAGCACTAGGTACCCCAGCACATCTCTGTGGCCTATGGGATTTATGTCTGAAAGATCAGAGCCCACATCTGTGCTGGAAACTGACTTGCTTGGTGACAAGGTGCATAGGAAATTACATACAACCTACCGTATCACAGGGTTATTGCACTGAAAGAAAGGATTGATTACTGGAAACTGTCATGTTGTCTTTTTTTTTTTTTTATTAAAGCAACTATTCTCCAAATGTAAGAGTGCCATTCTTTCCCCTTCAGTTTTTTGCCTCTCTACCTAGAGAAAGGTAGGGAGGCTGTGGGGAATGGCTGGTAAGGCAGACCAGCTTTGGCAGCTCAGCCACAAGCCAGAGACACAAGTGTAGCCCAGGGCAGGCACAAGGGCATCCAGCTGGGGGATACACCCTGCCTGGAGTGCCTGCCCCACCTCTGCAGCCACAGCAGGCTGTGGTCTCAACCACGATCTGGCTTGACCAGCTTTTCCCAGGACCTATCCCCACACAGAGAGCAAGCTCTGTAGACCACACACTGATTTTGCAATCCTGAAAACTCATGGCAGGTTGAACAATTACTTGAACCCCTCTTATGAATTCCAGAAACTTCTAGTGCCTGGATTACTCAAAGGCCAGCCCTTGGATCCTTGGGATCACCCTTAGTCTAATATGTCCTCCTCACCCCAAGACTTTCAGAACTTCTGGAAGGGAAATTTGCCTGCATAGTTAATGAAATCAAACTCAGGAAGCCGTAGGGATATTTAGGGAGGTTAAACTACTTAGCTTGCCTTTCCAGAGGCCTCTTCTAGGACCCAAGTTGGGATACAAATCTATCCCATATGTCTCCAAGCCCTGCAGAGGCCTTTATGGCCATCCCACTCAGTATAGCCTAGGCCTAGGGATGGCAGGAAAATGAACTTGGTGTCTTATGGCCCCAGGTCATCCGCCTTTAGGGGGCAGTGAGTCAATTTAAAGATAAATATTCTGAAAGGAGTAGTATGCAGCCATATAGAATATAGGGAGAGATGCCAGTTAGGACATACTGATTTATCTGTTAACTCTGAGGTCTTTGCAAAGGAGAAGATGGGGGAGGAAGAGCTTAGGTCCAGAGCACTGCTCCCTGGATGGGGAGGGCGCTTCTCTTGACCCAGAGCCAAGGATCATGATACCTCCTGCCCTGTCTTATGTGCTGTTAGCAGACAGCCCATTTTTAGATCCCTCATTGGTCTGGGTCTGCACTACAGAACCATAAATATGAGTAGAGAACACTGCTCCCCAGGAAGGTAGGGAAATGTGCCATAAATACCAGTGCCGGGAAACACTCACTGTCTTCCCTTCATCCGTTCAAGCAGCATCTTTGCCTTTCATCAGCCTTATTTCATGGGGAAAATGGGAAAACAAGGTATTGTGTCTTCTTGCTGAGGTCCTGAGGCTAAGATGTCAGTGAATTAAATGGGACTTAAGGTGGAAAGCTATAAAGACATGTCATGTCTTAGGGTAGGCCTGGGTGACATTCTACTAAAGCTGCCATAACAGAGTAACCCAGAGTGGGTCAGGATTGATGGCTTAACTAACAGAAATTTATTTCTTCATAATTCTGGAGGCTACAAGTCCAAGATCCAGGTATCAGCAGGGTTGGTTCCTTCTGAGGCCTATCTCTTTGGCTTGCAGATGGATCTCCCTGTGTCATCACACAGATTCCCTCTGTGTGTCTGTCCTGGTCTTCTCTTCCTATAAGGACATCAATCATATTATCTTTAAATGATTTCATTTTAACTATCTCCAAATACAGTAATGTTCTGAGGTATTAGGGATTGGGATGAGGACATGTATATTTTAGGGACAGAACTCAATGCAGGCTAAAGGAGGCTCCCCTAGAACAAGATGTGGGTGTGCAGTTATGCTTTGACTTTGTGGAGATGGAGAAGAGGGTTTCTAAGAAGAAGGGTCAGCCCTGTCAAGGCACAGGGTGTGTTGAGCCACAAGTAGGAAGAACAGGTGGGTCCAGGTGCAGGCAAGGTAGAGGCTGGGAGGAGGAGAGGCTATTGTTCTAGGGCTGGGGGCTGGAGGCTAGTGACAGAGCAAGGTGAGTGGGAGTGAGAAGCAGAGATGGGCACCCAGCCCCCCAGGTAGCTGTGTTCTGGCAGGGCTCCTGGAGGTGCTCCCCAAGATCTGGCTAAGCCAGGCACATACAGAGAACAGATGAGCCACGGAGGCAGGAAGTTCAGAGTTTGCTGGTCCCCAGAGTGACCAACAGCCTGAGTGCTGGCAGGTCCAAGTAGCTTCCCCTCCATGGGTAGGGTGAGGTGAAATAGAGTGAAGAAGGTGGTGACATTGGAGGAGACATGTGGTCTGTCATGTCCAGAGCCCAGGATGTGGCCAGGGATGATATCCTGGGATCCAGAGCAGGAGCCAGTGGAGATACCGTGAGAGCACATGGGAACGTTGGGCCGAGTGAGCCCCATGGAATAGGCTGGGAAGGACTGGAGGAGCAAAGCCCATTTCTGACTGCTTCTGTATGTGTCAAGGAAGAGTTAGTGACCACATGGTCCCAGCCTCTTTCCGGGGTACCAAAAACTTTTGGTAGGGCCTCAGTTGCATACCTCCAGGACCAACATGTGTCACCTAGGGAAGGAAGCTGCTCTGCACCCAGACCAGAAGGGCACACAGACATCCTCTGAGCTCTTGCAGATTTGGCCAGGGCAGGCCCAGGACAGGCTGAGAAGGAGAACCCCAGCCTCAGATGAGGTCAAGAGTCCAAACATTCTTTCTTTCACCTGCTAAGAAAGCTCTCACCAGCTTCAGTGGCTTCAGATATTTGGCCAGCTGGGATTGGGGCTCCTGAGTGTTGTTGGGGATGGAAGAAAGCCCAGCACAAGGGACTGAGGGGTGAGAGGGGAAAGATGAGGTTCAGCACCAAGACCCATAGCAGAGGGAAGGCCAGGCAGAGCAGGAGCACTGGCTGCCAGGGGCTAGGAGAGAGGAACACATGGACACCTGCCAGCATGCCAAGTCCAGTGAGAAGAGGCAGTGCCCAGCCTGTGGGCCCAGCCTTCGGGTCCCTAGAGACTGAAATGTGAGGGCAAATGCAATAGTGAGTGAATAAGAGCAGCACCTGCAGGTGTTCCCCTGTGTCTCCACTTTCTGCCACTTCAGCCTTAGTTTCTGTGTCTGTAAAATGGGAGCCTGGTATGTAGCTTGGAATTTGTCCTGAGATTAAGATAATATATGTTTATTGTATAATAAAATGCTATAATAAATAAGTTGTATCATTATAGTTTATTTATCATGAATATAATACATAAAATTGTTAGCTGGAGCCAGCAACTTACTGCCTGTGACCTGGCATGCTGCAAGCTTTCACCTGATAACTTATCCTGTTTTCTCCTTTCTGAGATGTTCCTGAGCCAGGGTCCTGGGGACAGAGAAGCTCTGCCTGGGCTGGCAGGAGGCATAGGAGCACAGGACAGCAGGCACGAGGACAGCAGGTAGACATGCTCCCTCAGTGGCTTCTCAGGCAGCTGCAGAGGAGCACAGGAACACGTAGAATGGGTCTCAGGCACCTAGCCTGCAGAATCTGGTTCCATCAATGTGGAGCAGCAGCCACAGACCTGGGGGCCTGGTCTTGGGAGCCTACTCTGGGAGGAACTCAGGAACAGTGACAGGATGGAATTAAAAAGGTATGACCACCTCTGCTGCCCACCCTACCATCTCAGGATAGTGGCTTGTGAGAGGCTTCCCCAGGCTCTGAGGTCAGGGACCCCACATTCCACTTACTTTCTTTTACCTGCTCAGTAATAAGACGAAACCCTTGCCTGACTCTCATTCAGCTGAGCTGCCCTCTGTCAAAACTTCCTAATAATGGTGACACCAGCCCTAGCCCCACCCCAGTGATGGCATGGCTTGCCCCTATGAGCAGTGCTGCATCCCCTGCTCCCCCAGGAAGACTCAGCTCTGGTCACATTCCCAGAGCATGCTGCGGCCACCCATCCATCACAGGATGCTCACCCTGGGCCTCCTTGATTCTTCATGTCCTGAATCCAGGGAGGGTGACCTGGACAGTAGAGCCCCCTCTGATCATAGGGCACCGAGAAGAACAGTGGTCAAGTGTGACTTTGAAAGCACAAGACAGGCATTATGGTGGCATTGGAGTCCTTCTGGGAGACAGCTTCACGTCCTGAGGGTCCCCTAAGGCTGAGCCCCCATCAGCATCTGGACAGGTCCACTCCCACCTGAGACATACTTACGATCACAAAGTTTTCATTGCGCATGGGAAACTCAAATTCAGCCACATGTCTTGAATTTTTATTTGCCAACTCTGGCTACCCTACCTTAACTTCTTAGAGGCAAGGGAAAGTTGGTTCCCAGCCAGGGAACCTGACAGGACTCACAGGTATGGAGTGGTGATGGGTGAACTCTCTACTGAACAGCCTGAAATACATCAGCAGAGGCTCACAGAGGGCCCACATGTAGCTCTCGGTGCTACTGACCAACATTCTGGGTCCTCCCCACCATTTTCCAGGAGACTGCAGCCTCCTACTCTGCATCGGCCCCACCTGTTGTTCCTTTGTGCTCCAGGCTCCAGGAGAGAAGCGCAGAGCTCTGGAAGTGACAGCTACCACCTCCCCCAAACTCAGCCAGCAGCCAGTCCTGAGAACCCAGTCTGGGGCCTGCAGAGAACTCAGAGATTGGATTTGACCACATTAAAATGCAGCCAGGCCAGGCAGGGCACATTTGGGGGAAAATAGACTTTTCATATGAAAATCCTGATGAAATTTGTTTAGCATAAAATCAAATCTCTCTGAACACAAATCAGTTTTGCTTTAGTAAGTTCTTGGGTACACATCACATGTGCAGATCAGCATGTGTGTATGTGTGTGTGTTTCTGTGTGTGTGCGTGTGCACGCACGTGAATGTTCACACGAATGTGCTATTTTCAGTTTTTCTCTTATGGGATTACTGCCTCAAAGCACCTCCATATCTTTCATAGTAAACTGGAGGACCCTCCAAATCATCTCCTTCATTGAGTTCCTGGGAGCTCAGGGAACAGTTTTGGCCCTAAGCTGAGATATCCATCTATCCCACAACTAGTCCATACAGAGACAGCCCTTGGTCCTCCACTGCCATTTGCCAGAAATGCATCATAATA